TGGCCAGCAAACTCGCCTGACCTGAACCCCGTAGAGAATCTATGGGGCATTGCCAAGAGAAAGATGAGAAACATGAGACCAAACAATACAGAAGAGCTGAAGGCCGCTAATGAAGCATCTTGGTCTTCCATAACACCTCAGCAGTGCCACAGGCTGATAGCTTCCATGCCAAGCCACATTGAGGCAGTAATTGCTGCAAAAGGGGCCCAAACCAAGTACTGACTACATATGCATGCTTATACTTTTCACAGGTCCGATATTGTTCTATGTACAATCCTTGTTTTATTGATTGCATGTAATATTCAAATTTTCTGAGATTGTGGATTTGGGGTTTTCATGAGCTGTAAGCCATAATCATCACAATTATGACAAATCACGGCTTGAACTATCTTGCTTTGCATGTAATGAGTCTATCTCATATATTAGTTTCACCTTTAAGGTTGCATTACTGAAATAAATGAACTTTTACACGATATTCTAATTTTTCGAGTTTCACCTGTATATGTAAAGCACTGTGTAAATTGAAGGTGCTATATAAGTATCTGAAATAAATAAATAAAAATAAGATGATAAAATACATAAAGAAAAAAAAACAACAACGAATGTGCTATACTTTAGATGGTTGGAGAGGACAGGTCCGACATTGTAAGGAACTAAGAATGTTCACACAATAACTTGTAAATATTCACTTCAATTATCTGATCATGTACAAATTAAATAAACAGAATTTGCTTTTTTTACATTGGATAATTAAAGTAAGTCTTTACACAATTAATTATGTGAATGTTCCTAGCTGATAAATCAGCTTCAGTAACTGAAATATTTAAAAGACACTTGGAGGTTGCCTTTGTTGACTTTAAGGTAAGTGCGAAAGTCTATAAATGTACAGTAGATCTCACAGTTCAAATCACATAGTAAAATTCTGACTATCATTTTATTTATTTTAAATTGTGCCTGTTTGTGAATTAAGCACATAGATGTGTCTGTCAATAGTTTCCACACCAGACAACATTTGATTAAAAAAAAAACATCTTTTTTTAACACCCTTGGGAACTTGGAATAATAATCATTTTACATAATAATTTTAAAAACAAGTTCATCTATGCAGCATGATCCCACACTTAGTGGGTAAATAGCCTGCCTGGGGATTAAGCTATTCTAATAAAACTGGAGCAAACCGCAGCTGCTAATGACAAATAAACTAAAGATAGGAGATTAAGCTATGCAATAAAGTTCTCACCCTATAAGTGTGGGCAAAGCTTTGCACACACGAAGCAAAATATAGTATTCATAGACTCCCCAGGATAAATTTAACTTGTATAGTGTGCTGATACCCGTGAAAAGTCATTATGATAGATTCAGATGATACACGTGTAATAATGCTAACTAGCACACTAGTAACTCATAAATAGTTATATAAAGAAAAAAATCTCATCTTCTCATTCAGACTGCTTTGGTAACAGCGTAATCGTTTGTATCTGGTACAAAGTAATCAGATATTTCCCCCTCGAAAATGGGAGGAGAGAAAAAAGAACACTCTGGACTTTATTGGTGCACTCAGACAACAGATTAAATTATTTTACCAATTTTTGTTTATTCTTAGTTTAAAATACATAAATGCAGATGAAATACTAAAAAAGCCCCCTCTATTTCCTGAGAGAAAACTCCCCAATTGCTTAGATATGCTGTAGATGGTATTAGGGGCTCCTCATTACCTTTGTGACTGCTTCTCCGTGTTTCAAGGGGATAAGGCACACTTCCTCAGGAGGAATCCAAGGTTCAATTCTTAGAGTAGCAGATTGCATGAGAATGAAAAAAGGGGGTTGGGGGGATGGTGGAGATCAGCGCAGAGACCCTCAAAAGGAACATCTGTGTTAGGGGTCAACCCCAATGTCTTTTTCAAAGAAGGCCTTACATATTTCAGCAGCACAATCCCTGGTTCTGGCCAGCTCAGTGGATTGCTTTAAAAAGTCCTGGATTCTTTCTTAGATACACAGAATATAACTGGATACTAACATTTATAGGTAAAGTTGATCCAGGGAATATCCGACTGCTTCCTGGGGGATCAGGAAGGAATTGTTTTCCCTGCAGGAGCAAACTGGATCATGTTTTGCTGGGTTTTTTTGCCTTCCTTTGGATCAACTGTGGGTATAGGATTATAACTTTTTTTTTTAATGGTTGAATTGGATGGACTTTTGTCTGTTTTTCAGCCAGACTAACTATGTAACAGTGCTAAACCACATACTACATCTATGACAACAGCATGGCTTTGAAGTAGAAGAGTCCTGGCCTGCCTGCTGTCCAGATCTTTCACCAATGGAAAAAATGTGGTGCATCGTGAAACAAACAATGTGACAAAGAAGACCTAGGACTGTTGAGAAGTATATCAGACAAGAATGGGACAGCATTCCTCTCTCACAACCGGTCTCTTCTGTTCCTAGATGTTTACAGAGTGTTGTTAAAAGAAGAGGGGATATTACACCATAGTAAACATAGAAAGTTTTTTGGGACATATTGCTGCCATCAATTTCAATTTTTTTTGATTATTAAAATGGATTTTCTCAGTTTAAGAATTTGACTTCTGTTTTCTATTGTGAGTAAAATATGAGTTTATGAGATTTGCAAATCATTGCAATCTGTTTTTTATTTTATATTTTACACAGCATCCCAACCTTTTTGGAATTGGAGTTGTACATAAATACAGTGTTTACTTACAATTACTGAAAAAAACCCCAATTGAATATCCTCACTAAAAATAAAGTTCTAAGCCAGGACAATGTTACTAATGTTTATAATGTTCATCGTAATACAAATCTTTTTTTTTTCTTTAATAAATCTTGCTTCAATTTACTAAACTTTTCATTCCCACATTTTTGCTAAATACATACCGAGTGTCTTTTCTTAAATTAACTATCTGTTTTCATCACTACTAATGACAGACTTAGTCCTCTATTTTGGATATACAACTGTTTTTTTTCTGAAATATTTACATACAGGCAGCATATTTCTCATCTTCTAATTTTGACAAATAGACTACTTATCTACCCATAGTTGAGTGTATTGTAAAAATTACTTGAAATTGTGAGTAAAAACACCAACTGACTGAATTTTTAGTATATTTCATATACATTTTATATTTATTTATGGTTTATAGACATACTACAAGGTTAACCTGAGCATGTTTTATCATAGGTTGAAAGCCTTCGCTCATATACCCATATGGAAGAAAAATATATTTAAAATATATTTAAATATATTCTTCCCAAATATATCGACATATATTTGAAATGCTACAATTTTGGCAATATTCAATATATTTCAAAATATATTTCAATATATATATACAGTCAGGTCCATAAATATTGGGACATTGACACAATTCTAACATTTTTACCTCTATACACCACCACAATGGATTTGAAATTAAACGAACAAGATGTGCTTTAACTGCAGACTGTCAGCTTTAATTTGAGGGTATTTACATCCAAATCAGGTGAACGTTGTAGGAATTACAACAGTTTGCATTTGTGCCTCCCACTTGTTAAGGGACCAAAAGTAATGGGACAGAATAATAATCATAAATCAAACTTTCACTTTTTAATACTTGGTTGCAAATCCTTTGCAGTCAATTACAGCCTGAAGTCTGGAACGCATAGACATCACCAGACGCTGGATTTCATCCCTGGTGATGCTCTGCCAGACCTCTACTGCAACTGTCTTCAGTTCCTGCTTGTTCTTGGGGCATTTTCCCTTCAGTTTTGTCTTCAGCAAGTGAAATGCATGCTCAATCGGATTCAGGTCAGGTGATTGACTTGCCAATTGCATAACACACCACTTCTTTCCCTTAAAAAACTCTTTGGTTGCTTTTGCAGTATGCTTTGGGTCATTGCCCATCTGCACTGTGAAGCGGCATCCAATGAGTTCTGAAGCATTTGGCTGAATATGAGCAGATAATATTGCCCGAAACACTTCAGAATTCATCCTGCTGCTTTTGTCAGCAGTCACATCATCAATAAATACAAGAGAACCAGTTCCACTGGCAGCCATACATGCCCACGCCATGACACTACCACCACCATGCTTCACTGATCAGGTGGTATTCGTAGGATCATGAGCAGTTCCTTTCCTTCTCCATACTCTTCTCTTCCCATCACTCTGGTACAAGTTGATCTTGGTCTCACCTGTCCATAGGATGTTGTTCCAGAACTGTGAAGGCTTTTTTAGATGTCGTTTGGCAAACTCTAATCTGGCCTTCCTGTTTTTGAGGCTCACCAATGGTTTACATCTTGTGGTGAACCCTCTGTATTCACTCTGGTGAAGTTTTCTCTTGATTGTTGACTTTGAGACACATACACCTACCTCCTGGAGAGTGTTCTTGATCTGGCCAACTGTTGTGAAAGGTGTTTTCTTCACCAGGGAAAGAATTCTTCGGTCATCCACCACAGTTGTTTCCGTGGTCTTCCGGGTCTTTTGGTGTTGCTGAGCTCACCGGTGCATTCCTTCTTTTTAAGAATGTTCCAAACAGTTGTTTTGGCCATGCCTATGGTTTTTGCTATCTCTCTGATGGGTTTGTTTTATTTTTTCAGCCTAATGATGGCTTGCTTCACTGATAGTGACAGCTCTTTGGATCTCATCTTGAGAGTTGACAGCAACAGATTCCAAATGCAAATAGCACACTTGAAATGAACTTTGCACCTTTTATCTGCTCATTGTAGTTGGGATACTGAGGGAATAACACTGTCAGGGAATGGGAAGATCGCTGCGGCGATCGAATCCGCACATGCGTAGAGTCCTGACAAAACGTACAGGCAGGCGGGCACTAGGACCCAGACACAACTGTCACCAATGACGGCACCGGGCAAAGCATTAGGACCCAGGAGCACCTGTCAGGAGTTGGGCTGGCTATTTAAACCCAGCTCTTGCAATGCTCAAGTGCCGTATGGTCTTTCCTGTGTTCCTGTGAGTTTACTTTGCTGCTGACCCTGCCTGATCCTGATCTGCTGACTTCTCCTGCTCTGACCCCTGGCTTGCCTGACCATTCTCCTGCCTGTTCCTGCACTTTTGATCTCCTGTTGCCAAACCCGGACCGTGACCCGTTTATACTTCTGCCTGCTGTTTTGTACCGACCTGCTCCGCTGTTACCAACCCGGCCTGTCTGACCTCGCTTACTCTACCTCCTCACATCAGACTCTCACCTGCTGCGTACCACCGTCAGGTGCCTCTTCCATAGCTGGTTGCACCCAGGGGTCACGACCTGGTCTCTCGGCTTGCTCCAAGTCCATCCCCACCATCAGGGGCTCTGGTGAACAAGCAGGTCTTAACTTAGACTCCGCGCCCTGGGGAATTCTGGTCTGTGGGCCGCTAGAGGCTACCACCGGCTGGTCCCTAACAAACACACACCGGGCCATGGAACAGCTGAGAAGCCAATTGTCCCATTACTTTTAGTCCCGTAACAAGTGGGAGGCACATATGCAAACTGATATAATTCCTACACCGTTCACCTGATTTGGATATAAATACCCTCAAATTCAAGCTGACAGTCTGCAGTTAAAGTACATCTTGTTCATTTCATTTCAAATCCATTGTGGTGGTGTATAGAGCCAAAAATGTTAGAATTGTGTCAATGTCCCAATATTTATGGACCTGACTGTATATACACTGTATGTTGAAATGCGTTTTTATTACAAAATATATGAAAAATATTTTTAAAAATACATTTCAAATATAATGTATGTCTTTAAAAATACAAATCTACATTTTTGGAATGCATTTACAAATATATGTAAAAACATGTTAAAATGACTTTTTTATATGTTAAAAAAATCTGAAGAATATATTTAAAACAAATATATTTTTTAAAATACTTGTAAATGCATTCCAAAAACATAGATTTGTATTTTTAAAGACATACAGTATATTTGAAATGTATTTTTAAAAATATTTTTCATATATTTTGTAATAAAAACTAATTCAACATATAGTATATACAGTGGGGCAAAAAAGTATTTAGTCAGCCACCAATTGTGCAAGTTCTCCCACTTAAAAAGATGAGAGAGGCTTATAATTGGCATCATAGGTAGACCTCAACTATGAGAGACAAAAGGAGAAAAAAAATCCAGACAATCACATTGGCTGATTTGGAAAGAATTTATTTGCAAATTATGGTGGAAAATAAGTATTTGGTCAATATCAAAAGTTAATCTCAATACTTTGTTATATATCCTTTGTTGGCAATGACAGAGGTCAAACGTTTCCTGTAAGTCTTCACAAGGTTGACACACACTGTTGCAGGTATGTTGGCTCATTCCTCCATGCAGATCTCCTCTAGAGCAGTGATGTTTTGGGGCTGTCGCTGGGCAACACGGACTTTCAACTCCCTCCAAAGGTTTTTTATGGGGTTGAGATCTGGAGACTGGCTAGGCCACTCCAGGACCTTGAAATGCTTCTTACGAAGCCACTCCTTCATTGCCCGGGCGGTATGTTTGGGATCATTGTCATGTTGGAAGACCCAGCCACGTTTCATCTTCAATGCCCTTGCTGATGGAAGGAGCTTTGCACTCAAAATCTCACGATACATGGCCCCATTCATTCTGTCCTGTACATGGATCAGTCGTCCTGGTCCCTTTACGGAGAAACAGCCTCAAAGTATGATGTTGCCACCCCCAAGCTTCACAGTAGGTATGGTGTTCTTTGGATGCAACTCAGCATTCTCTCTCCTCCAAACACACGACGTTGTTGTGTTTCTACCAAACAAACAGTTCTATTTTGGTTTCATCTGACCATATGACATTCTCCCAATCCTCTTCTGGATCATCCAAAAGCTCTCTAGCAAACTTCAGACGGGCCCGGACATGTACTGGCTTAAGCAGGGGGACACGTCTGGCACCGCATGATCTGAGTCCCCGGCGGCGTAGTGTGTTACTGATGGTAGCCTTTGTTATGTTGGTCCCAGCTCTCTGCAGGTCATTCACTAGGTCCCCCCGTGTGGTCCTGGGATTTTAGCTCACCGTTTTTGTGATCATTTTGACCCCAGGGGGTGAGATCGTGCGTGGAGCCGCAGATCGAATGAGATTATCAGTGGTCTTGTATGTCTTCCATTTTCTAATTATTGCTCCCACAGCTGATTTGTTCACACCAAGCTGCTTGCCTATTGCAGATTCAGTCTTCCCAGCCTGGTGCAGGTCTACAATTTTGTTTCTGGTGTCCTTTGACAGCTCTTTGGTCTTCACCATAGTGGAGTTTGGAGTGTGACTGTTTGAGGTTGTGGACAGGTGTCTTTTATACTGATAACAAGTTCAAACAGGTGCCATTGATACAGGTAATGAGTGAAGGACAGAGGAGCCTCTTAAAGAAGAAGGTACAGGTCTGTGAGAGCCAGAAATCTTGCTTGTTTGTAGGTCACCAAATACTTATTTTCCACCATAATTTGCAAATAAATGATTTCCAAATCAGCCAATGTGATTGTCTGTCTGGATTTTTTTTTTCTCATTTTGTCTCTCATAGTTGAGGTCTACCTATGATGCCAATTATAGGCCTCTCTCATCTTTTTAAGTGGGAGAACTTGCACAATTGGTGGCTGACTAAATACTTTTTTGCCCCACTGTATATATTTTGAAATATATTGAATATGGACAAAATTGTAGCATTTCAAATATATGACAAAATATGACAAAAAGTAGAAAAGGTCCTATAAACTGAATGATAAACAGTCCGAGGTAATATGATATCAGTCCAAATAGGTATATTCCAGTGATGGAGTATATATGACTTCAATCCAAATGGGTATATTCCAGCATCCTAACATGAAGGTGTAGAAAAATTGCCCACTCACCGCGAGTGCAATTTAATGTGCACATGGAAATTCCATGTAGCCGGAGGTCCCGTGAAGGTACAGCCTGATGATAAAGGTATCCTCCGGTGGTTAATGGGGTGACGGCTGCCAGAGATGATGGTCTGGACCTATATCCCAAATCCTCCAGCCTGGGTGGACTCCTAAAATGCTGGGCTGAGATGTGGAGGCTCAGTGCCAGGTAATAGAGATGAAAACGCTCATGGTGTAGTATTGTGAAATGTATTTATTTGGGTATAAATCATTATGGTAAACAGTAAACGTACAGGGTGATAGTAACCTATACAAATATAGTGTGAATGAGCTCTTGAATGCACTGACCAGTGGATAAAAATGATGGCCACCGGACCTCCTGATCCGGTGGCGTGACGTCAAGGCGTGCAGAGGCTCCTCCTAGACGCGCTTTGTGTAATAACACGTCTCCTGTAGGGGTGATGCCATTGACGTCACGCCACCGGATCAGTAGGTCCGGTGGCCATCATTTTTATCCACTGGTCAGTGCATTCAAGAGCTCATTCACACTATATTTGTATAGGTTACTATCACCCTGTACGTTTACTGTTTACCATAATGATTTATACCCAAATAAATACATTTCACAATACTACACCATGAGCGTTTTAATCTCTATTACCTGGCACTGAGCCTCCACATCTCAGCCCAGCATTTTAAGAGTCCACCCAGGCTGGAGGATTTGGGATATAGGTCCAGACCATCATCTCTGGCAGCCGTCACCCCATTAACCACCAGAGGATACCTTTATCATCAGGCTGTACCTTCACGGGACCTCCGGCTTCATGGAATTTCTATGTGCACATTAAATTGCACTTTCGGTGAGTGGGCAAATTTTCTACACCTTCATGTTAGGATGCTGGAATATACCCATTTGGATTGAAGTCATATATACTCCATCACTGGAATATACCTATTTGGACTGATATCATATTACCTCGGACTGTTTATCATTCAGTTTATAGGACCTTTTCTGCTTTTTGTCATATTTATAACAGTGTGTTTTATTTGTATAGCGCTGCACACCCCATTTTTATGTTATACTCCTAGAAAGGCTTTGTGGTTCCTTTTTGTGCATCAGCAGCTTTATATGGTGCGCTCGCTAACTCACAAATTTATATTTCAAATATATGTCAATATATTTGGGAAGAATATTTTTAAAATATATTTCAAATATATTTTTCTTCCATGTGGGTATCCTTTTATTTGGTCCAGCTAAGTCTATTATTGATTATTGTTTATTACAATCAGAAGTCACTTCTCTTCTCAGGTCCCCAGGTCTTCTCTGGCAAACTATACTTTATCTCACATAACATATTGAGTTGAGCTACCACCAATGAGAGAAGCAAGACACACTTGTCTGATTTTCACAAAAGTATGTATTTATTTGTGAAAAATAATTGAAAGATAAAATGGTCTGCAAAATAAAGTTTCACAGAACCAGGTGCAGGATTACCTTAGAAAAGGTAACTAGGCAGTTACTTTCTGATTGGTCCCTCATCATTTTGCAGACATGATCATTAACAGATGTCATCGCACTTAAGAGTGCAATTTACATGGCTGTCCTTCCCAGTAAAATACATGTCAGAGAATCTTCTTTCCATGAAGTTGAACATCCATGTAGCTGGAACTGCTTCCCTTAATTGGCAGGGTATAATTATTGCTGACGCTCATTCCATTCTTGATGTTGATCTTCACTTTTAGGAAAATCTTTTATACTCCCATAGAGTTACTATGAGCTATCAGTCTTCTCTAGGCCTTGTCACAATGATGAATTTGGCACATTGCCTTTCCTCTCCACATGGATTAAAATGTAAGACTTGTCACATATCTTAATGTGCTACTGTGATGGAAACCTCTGATAAACTACTAACCACATCATACTTGACACTCCTAAAAATCCATTGCTATGAGATCTCTTCTTTCCAACTGCCTAATGGGATGTACCTAGACAACTCCCTTAAAACATTCATGGTAAGACTGCCCTTTGGACAAGGTAAAAAGCCTTACAAACAAAACTCTGAAATGCAAAGACAAAAATGTAATATATTGAAAACTGCCATCACTTAGATATGATAGCAGCATTAATTTTGTTCACAGAAGATTGCTGAGAGGGCACCTTAAAGTGGTTCTAAAGTCTCAAGGTTTTTTACCTTCATGCATTCTATTCATGAAGGTAAAAAACCCTCTGTGTGTAGCAGCCACCCCAGCCTCCGTAACACTTACCTGAGCCCCCTTACAATCCAGCGATGCCCGCGAGTGCCTCGGTTCTCCGGGGACTCTCACTCCTGATTGGCTGAGGCAGTAGCGGGAGCCAATGAGGAGACGGAGGGGGCAGAGCCGAGCCACGGTTCTGTGTGTGAATGGACATGTGGAGCAGCAGCTCGGGAGCGTGCCTGTTCAGGTGCCCCCATAGCAAGCTGCTTTTTGTATTTTAAACATCGACATTCGTTCAGCCTTTCCGTTATAATCACCATGTATCACCGCCTCCTGTCCTGCCCTGCTCCCACCCTGGAATCCTTATAATAC